ATAGATGAGGATGAAGACGGTAAAGGAGGGACCAGGCGGTAAAGGAGGGACCAGGCGGTAAAGGAGGGATCAGATGGTAAAGGAGGGACCAGACACAGCACTGCCGCCGTTTCTCGGCTATGACCAGATCCCCTTGGTGTCAGATTGAAGCGAGGCCTCGATGCCAATAGTCCACGACGTGATGATCACACGTGGAAGAAAGGGAGTTCTGGGAAGGGCATGGCATGCAAATCCGCATTTGTATGTTTTAAAGGAAGGTAAACTGTTCAGTGTGGTCTATATGCCTTTTTAAAAGATTCCCCTCTTTCTACTGTTTTGAGGAGAAGCTTTTAAACTTTCAAGCTGCAGTAATGTCAAGTTTACAGAAAAGCTACATGGAAGCTCCTCTGCATGCTCCTCTGCATGCTCCTCTGCATGCTCCTCTGCATGCTCAGACTAGTACAGCGAGCTACAGAGAGCTGGCTGCCTTCAGCAATGGAGGTTTGTTTCTCTCAGCGCTGGGGGTCGGGAAGTCTTAAGGCCAAGGTTGTAATGGATTTCTGCAGGTGAGGTCCTTCTTCCTAATTTATAGATTGCATGCAGATGACTTCCACGTGGCAGGTGTGGGGCAAAGGAGACAGGACACTAATCCTGTCGTACCCATGGGACCTCATTTTTAACCCAATTGCCTCTTTTTAGGCTTAATTTCCAAATGCAGTCACCTTGGGAGTTAGAACTTCTCCTTACAGATGGGAATGGGGTGGGGATACAATTTAGAACATAGCACACCCTTTATTCTGCTTTTCTCTGTTAACATTTTATCCAATTTGTCCCAGACCTGCACATATGCACGCATACACACAGAACGCTGATGGTGCTCAACTTCCCAGTGGTTCAGTTACAGAGTTCCGGCTTTAGGATGGAGCCCAAAGTGATATGCATTCCATAGAGACTGCGCTTGGAGTTCTCGGTTTTGATCTCGTCCCAGCCTTGTGTTAGGTGGTACAATACTTTCTTGATGTTGAATAGTGACAGCAAGCTACAGCTCCCAGGCAGCCTTTCCGTCAGAGGGTGAACAGCTGATCTCTACAGAGGGTGCTGCTGGCGTCATATTGTGTTTTGTGTTTACATCCCATCATGTCTACAAAAAGTGCACATCTGTGTGTATAGAAGCTATTTAATACTTGATGATAAAGTAGCCCAGCTGTGTTTTGAGCATGTGGAAGGTAGACAAAGCTAAGGGATGGCATTTGGAAGGATAGGAATATCAGATGCATTTTCAACTCACATTATTTTCACCTTACAGTGGCTTTATCGGGACATAATCCCATATGAAGCTGTAATCACATCCATTATTGTCCTTTATCTCTAGATCTTTCTGTGTATTTTCCAACAATAACATAAGTGCTATCACTGAGCCACAGCATATGCATCAGCTTCAATAAATTTATGACAGATACAATATTTATCTAATTTGCTTTCATTTATCTGGTTGCTTCCCTTGACTGAAAAATGTCTTTTTATATAGCATTTTCTTCTTTTTCAGAGTAGAATCCAGTCAACACCTATGTTGATAAACATGGGCAGCTGAGAAGATATGGCTCAGTGAGTAAAGCGTTTGAAGACTTACTGAGTTTGAATCCTTAGCACCAGTATAAAAAGCCTGGTTGTACAGCTGTACTCCCAGTGCTAGGAAAGGGGGCGATGCAGAGAAAGTAGATCCTGGGGTCTCACTGTTTAGCCAGGCTAGCAAAACATTGAGCTCCAAGCTTAGTGAGGGACCCTGTCTCAATAAACCAAGGTGGGGAGCAGTAAAGGGAGACAGCCAGAATTGACCTCTGGTCATCATGTGTGCATGCGCAGGCCAGTGCCCCTGTGCCCACATGCATACACCACACACACACACACACACACACACACACACACACACACACACACAGATGTACACACATACACAAAGGTATCTGAGGTCCTCCAGAACAGAATGCTGGGATTGTGCCTTCAGGTTCCCCACTTTGCCCCTGGATCCCAAGTTTAAACCCTTATGCTTTCATTGCTGTGCTTTGTGTTGCTAGCATCCCTGTTTCCCATACAGCACATCTAGCTTTCCTTTGTGACTCAGTTGATTTGCTTTTCTTATTGCCTCCCTGAGCCCAGTTGGAACTGACCCACCTGGAAGCCAAGCCAACTAAGAACTGACCCACCTGGAAGCCAAGCCAACTAACCCTACTCCATATTCCCACCAAGCCCCCGGTACCCTGGGCCTACTTGAAATACCACCCCCCTCATTCCTTACCATGGCTAAGCTCTTTGAAAGAAGGGCCTGTATTTATGCATATGTATTAATATTTATGTGCTTTATGAATATTTATCAACCCACAGTGGAATACATCACTGTGAAGGATAGCACAAAGAAGTTGTAGGGAATCAGATCCTGAAGAACAAGAAGAAACCAAATGCCCGTCTGGGGGAAGGAATGAGCGGAGCGTGTGTGGGCTGAGCTGGACTCCTGCATGCTCTTGCAGTTGTATGATAGGGAGTAGGAAGTCAGGATTGCCAGTCTGTTCCCCAAGGAGTCTCAAGTCATGCACGTTTACAAGAACATAGTCTAGGTTTCTTTTTTTTATTGTTGTTTCTTAGTGTTGAGCCTATCATAGACACAGAAAATTTACAAATGATAGTAAAGTACTTGTATCTGCACCTGGCATCTCCATCTTAGGTAACCATGGAGCCATGGTCAAGACTAGAGAATTACTGTAGTTGTAATAATGTTACTGGCTAACTGCAGGCTCCGGTTCATTTCTTCAAGTCTCCACTGCCGTCCTTTCCTGAGGATCTTATTTGGGATCCTGTGTTGAATTTAGCTGCCATAGCTCCTTAATTGCCTCCAGCCTTACAGTTTCTCTGTCTGCTCTTGTCTTTTATGATCTGGACTCTTGAATCCTACTGGCCAGTTGATTGTAGAATATACTGTATCCTTCGTTTGGGGGGTCTGTGTGCTGTTTCCTTGTGATTAAGCTGACTGAGATTCTGCTTTTGTTGGTTGGGGGGAGGGATTGAGACAAGGTTTCTCTATATAACAACCCAGGCTGTTCTGGAACTTGTTCTGTAGACCAGGCTGCCTCCCGAGTGCTGGGATTAAAGGTGTGCACCACCCTGCCTTGCTGAGATTCTGCATTTTTAAGAGAATACTGTAGACTACATTTTGTTTTTGTTTTTGTTTTTCGAGACAGGGTTTCTCCATGTAGTTTTGTTGCCTATCCTGGATCTCGCTCTGTAGACCAGGCTGGCCTCAAACTCACAGAGATTCGCCTGGCTCTGCCTCCCAAGTGCTGGGATTAAAGGCATGCGCCACCGCTGCCCGGCTGTAGACTACTACATTTTAAAGCACACTGACTGGTGATGTGCTTTTCTCAGTGCATTACATCTAGATTTTATTAATCACATCTCATCCAGGATGTTGAACTTACCATTGACACAAGGATGTTTGGGAGTTTTGTTTTGTCTTGAGATACAGTCTCATTGGTTTGTTGTTGTTGTTGTTGTTGTTGTTTTTCGAGACAGGGTTTCTCTGTGTAGCTTTGCGCCTTTCCTGGAATTCACTTTGTAAACCAGGCTGGCCTCGAACTCAGAGATCTGCCTGGCTCTGCCTCCTGAGTGCTGGGGTTAAAGGCACATGCCACCACCACCGGCCTGAGATACAGTCTCATTGTGTAGCTCTGGCTGGCTTGGAACTCCCTTTTTACACCAAGATGGACTTAAACTCACAAGAGATCTGCCTCATTCTTACTCAAGTATGTCACTACCAGCAGCTAGGGAAGCGTTTTGGGTTTGGTTTTGGGGTTGGGGGGGGTTGTTGTTGTTTTGGGTTGGTTGCTGTTGTTGTTTAGTTTTGTTTTCTGGATTGCTTTTTGTGAAGTTCTCCCACGCCCCCGCCCCCCCCAGTAGTTAACCAGTATATTTTGAGATTATACAAATGTCCTGTTTCACCCACCCATTGCTTTCTTCGTGGATCAATGAGCCTCGCCTCCTGCAAGTCTTACCGTGGTATTTACTTAGTAGTACATTTCTCCTTGCCCCTTTCATTGTACATTTATTGACTGGAATTCTTTTGGAAGGAGAAGCTGCATAGACAGGAGTTATATGCAGGAAGTCATGTCCTTCCGTCGTCGCGTCTTTTACCATTAGAATCTTCAGATTGCTACTTTAGCAGTCACAGTATACCCTCATCGTCTTCATTAAGTGTTTATGTTATGAGTGTTTGCCTGAGAACATTGTAGTCACCTGGATTACAAAGCTTCTTTATTATAGGCAGACAGAGTGACTCTCGATTGTATGTTTTTAAAAAATCAATGACTTACTATTTTTTAAAAAAACCTACAACAATGGGTAGCACAGAAGCTGCTATATATCTCCTATATCGGCCTTGAATAAGTCTTTCTTTGTTCAGCTTCCAATCATCTAAGAGAAAAAAATAGAACCGTTGATGCTTAGCTGCAAATAGTTCATGAGACACATGTCGGTTTTCTTTCTGCCACGGTGTGGTACTGGCTTTCTTGCCTTTGTAGGTTTACACTGCTGGTTGTAGCTCAAGTGCAAAGAATGCATTTAGCATGGGTGCTCTTAGTTCAGCAGTCCCCATATACCATAGTCTTGCAGTTTTCCCAGAGAAGCACTGAATTGGACCTAGTTCATTTCATCCGTTTCCAAGCATTGTGTCTCTAGTTTTATGAAGACGTTTATTTGTATTTGAAAGAGAATATATAGGCCAGGAGTTGACAGCTTTTTCTGTGACTCCAGAGCATAACCACTCTTGGCTATACAATGTCAGAATCAGTTCTGCTATTATGAATAGAGGTAACCAGCAAGTGTAAATGTCCTTTGTCCCAATAAAACTTCATTTAAATGAATGAAGGGCAATCTAGTGACTACAGTTCACTGCCCATTGTTTTAGATTCCAGAAATACACAAACCCAAAATGTTCAAGAACATCTGTCCTAATCCTTCATGCTTTTCTACAGGCAGAAGACTGACCTTCGAAAATATGTATTTGGGAGATAATCACGTTCTATTGAATACCTTGTGCTGGTGCTGCCATCGAAAAATCTGGTTACAGTCTGGGGAGGCCTGCTGCTGCTGCAGGACTGAACCCCCTCGGCCCTGAGATGAGTGTCCCAACAGAGCAGGCACATCATGAATAGATACACAACAATCAAGCAGCTTGGGGATGGGACCTACGGTTCTGTCCTGCTGGGAAGAAGCATTGAGTCTGGAGAACTGATCGCCATTAAAAAGTAAGTGTATGCTTCACTCTTGTGAACTCACAGCCAGCTCTACCTATCAAGGTGCTTTAAACTCTGTTCTGTCCATTCCCTGTCTTTGAAACATGTCTAACGGGGAGTGGATGGGGGGCATAAAGAAGAACATTAGGCGATGATTCTAATGTTATAAAGAAACGGTACAGCTTATGATGAGGTGGTAGTGAAGTTAATAAACTTCATTTTCCAGGAGAGGACACGTGTTTATCTGGTACCTGCTGTCTTGGGTCACTCCCCCATATTTAGTGTTTTAGTGCAGACAGAGTTCAGACCAACTGCATTAGTTACCTGTTACTATATAGCAATTTACTCCAAACTTGTAGATTAGAACAACACACACACACACACACACACACACACACACACACACACACACACACACATTGTATCGCAGTTTCTGTTGGTCAGCACAACTTAGCTGAGTTATCCGGTCCAAAGTCTCTTCTGAGGCTGCAATCAAAGTGTTGCTCAAAACTGTGCTATCATTGACAGCTGGGCAGGGGAGGGAGCTACTGCCAAGCTCACTCATGTGACTTTAGATTGCATTTAGACCCTTGGACGTTGTTGAACTGAGGGCCTAGGTTCTCTGCTGGTTGTCAGCCAGAGGCTGCCTCTCAGTCCTTTGCCATGTGGACTGCTCCAAAGAGTAGCTCACAATAAGGTGACTTGCTCCACTGAGATCTAGGCAACAGGAAAGCAGTAAGGGGCTGAGAGGCAGCTCAGTGGTTAAGAATATTTACTATTCTTATAGAGGATTAGAGTTCAGCCCCAGCTGAGCTACACAGTTCAACAACCTGTAACAGCAGTTACAGTTACAACAACTGTAACTCCAGTTCCAAGGGACCTAACACTCTCTTCTGGCTTCTGTGGCCACGTGCACACACGGTATACATAGTACCCTATTGTACATATATACACTAAATAAATTTTTTGTAAAGAAAGAGTGTTCTTAGATGGAAGTCATATCTTTTTACTCTTACAAATCAATCACAGAAGTGACTTCTTCTCAGAATGATGTACCCTTACTAGCTAGAAGCAGGTTATTGAAGGAGAAAGGGTATACACGGTTATAAATAGAGGAAGATAGGGGTCTTTGGGGATCATGTTAGAGTCTGCCTGCTGGGGTACCTATGCCCATCTGCCTTCTTACCATCTGCACTAAGTCCTGTAACCATTTAAAAATCATTTCCCAAACTGAACTTACATGCAGAGTACTATTGCACTTTTATTCCAGACCTGTTTATCCTTCTTATCGTTGTTTTGTTTTGTTTCTGTTAGACAGTCTTGCTGTGCAGTCTAGGCTGGCTTTGGATTCACACTTCTCTGCCTTGCCTCCCAAGAACTGGGTTATGGATGTGCAGAGGTTCCTTCTGACTCCGTTTTCCCTCTCTCCAGGCACCTCCAAACCTGAGCTCTCTTGACTTGACTCTCACTTATGCCTCCCCCTCAGTCATCTAGTCCTGTCAATTGTACTAAATAGCTATCTGGTCTACCTCCTCCACGCCTACTAGAACCTCACTTCCAGACTAATACTATTTACCATGTGACCACCAGGTCCTCTATAGGGCTCTTGGCTTCCAGTCATTTCACAGCTCATGCCAAACTGAAAAGACAGTTCGTTAAAACCACTAGTGTTAAACATTCTCTGTGTTCTCCTGCCTCTTTGCAGCCCTGTGCTGGATGGTTTTCTGTCAACTTGACACAAACTAAAGTCATCTGAGAGGAGGAAGCCTCAACAAAGAAAATACTTCCATAAGATCAGGTTGTAGACAGCCATATGGGGGAGGCTCAGGCCTCCCTGGGCTGATGGTACTGGGTTCTAAAAAAAAAAGCAAACTGAACAGCCAGAAGGAGAAAGCCAGTAAGCATCACCCTTCCATGGCCTCAGCATCAGCTCCTGCCTCAGGTTCCCACCCTGTTTGAGTTCCTTCAGTAAATGGCTATAGATGTGGAAGCTTTAGTCAAATAAACCCTTTCCTCCCCAACTTGCTCTTGATCGTGGTGTTTCATCATAATAATAGTAACCATAACTAAGACAGGCCCCTTGTCTCAGGTAACTTCCGTGCTCACAGCAGAGCTGGGCCTCGTCTTGGTATCAGCACAGTCACGTATCTCATACCTGATCTTTCATCTTTCCCCTAGTTTTGCTGCTCTTTGCCCTGGCTTTCTGGAACCACCTTCTAAAAGAACTTCCTGAACGAAAGCCTAGGAGAGTCCAGTGTGACATAGCTTTCTCTAGGTGCCATCCTCTTAGCAACAGTCATCAACTTCTGTGACCTCCAAGTTGCTGCACCTTTGGCCTGTTTTCTCCAGCTTTATCTCTTATCACTGCCCTCTTTCGTCTTCACTCCAGTCTCCAGCCTTCCAGTGTCTTGAACTTACTCCTGCCCAGATCTTCTTATGATTGGCCCTACTGCATGTGCCTAGATACATTGTACTGTTTTCTTACTTCCGTGGTGGTGGAGCTGAGGGAGCAGGTTGTGGGGGAGTAGATCAGCAGCTGAAAGCTTACATCTGGAACCACAAACAGAAAACCGAGTGTACTGAAATGGGGCAAGTGACATACTTCCTCTAATAAGGCCATACTTCCTAAGCATTCCTAAATAGCCACCAACTTGAGACCAAGTATTCCAATACACTAGACCATTGGTCATAGACATTTCCTTCAACTACCACAAATAGTAAGATACCATGTTGTTGTTTGGTCTTTGGTCTTTTCTCTTTTGGGGGGCCTGCCACCCAGCTCCCAGATAAATCATACATAGAGGCTTATGCTTACTTATAAATGACCAGCCTTAGCTTGGCTTGTTTCTTGTCAGCTTTCTTTAACTTAAATTATCCCATCTATCTGTTGCCTCTGGGCTTTTCCCTTTTCTTACTTCTATAATCTTACTCTTACTCCGTGGCTTGCTGTGTATCTGGATGGCTGGCCCCTGGAGTCCTCCTCCTTCTCTGGCTACTACTTCTTCTTCTCCCAGATTTTCCTCCTATATTCCAGATTTCTCTCTGCCTGCCAGCCTCGCCTATCCTTTCTCCTGCCTTGCTATTGGTCATTCAGTTCTTTATTAGACATCAGGTGTTTTAGACAGGCAAAGTAACACAGCTTCACAGACTTAAACAAAAGCAACATAAACAAAAGTAACACACCTTAAAATAATAAATAAAATAATAAAATAATATTCTACAATAATACCATATCTGGTATCTGCATGTGCATTAAAACCCAGTTCCTGTGGTATACTTGCCATGTTTTGAGTGCTTAGCATATAGCCACATACTTTTTTTTAAAATATAATTTAAAATTAATTTTTTGAAAACTTCATACATAGGCACAATGTATCTTGGTCATATCCATCCCCACCTGTCCCATGGACCTTCCCAGTATATGTCTCTCCCACCCCTTCATCATCCACCCCTTCCTGTTCCTCCTCCTTTTCCCTTCCTGTTTATAATCCCCTGAGCCTAACTAGTGCTGTTTTATCCTGCAGCAACATATCTGTGGCTACCAACAACAGAAGTTCTGCGGGCCAGCACTGGCCTAGACAGAGTAAACTTGAGGGAGTTTCCTTCGGCCAAGTTAGTTTGTTAGCGTCAGACAGCAGACCTGGCTGTTTGTACGACACCAGGAGGCCTGCTTAGGGTTTCTGTTGCTGTGATAAACACCATGGCCAACTTGGTGTGGAAAGGGTTTATTTCTTCTTACAACTCTCAGGTCACACTCCATCACTGAGGAAAGTCAGGAGCTGATGCAGAACCCATGGAGGGCTGCTGCTTACTGTCTTGTTCCTTGTGGCCTGCTCTGCTCAGCCTACTTTTTTTTTTTTTTTTTTTT